CTGCACTTGTGAGGAGGCAGGCGGTGGAACCACTAAGCTAAATCCCGACCCCCCCCACCCCGTAATTCATTTTTATATCCCAGAGAATTTACTGTTTTCAGTTTTGCCACTAGACAATGTTACTATAAACATTTTTTATCTATGTCTTCAAACTTTCTTTTTTCTTCCTGTCTTTTCTTTCTTCTTCCTTTCCTTTCTCTTCCCTCTTTCCCCTTCCTTCTCCTTCCTTTCCCTCCCCCTTCTCTTTCCCACTCCCCTCCCCTCCCCTCCCCTCCTTCCCCTTTCCTGCTCTTCCCTCCCTTCCACTTCCCTCCTCCCCCATCTTTTTCCCTTCCCTCCCCTCCCCTTCCCTCCTTTCTTAGTTGTGGTATTAGAGATCAAATCCAGGGCCTCATGCATGCTGAGCTATTCTATCTCTGAGGTATAACCCCAGGCATTCTTTACATGAAATAGATTCCAAGTGGAATCACTGGATAATTTATAATATCAATACTATTCATATTATAAACAATACTAATATTGTAATATTCACATTCATATTCCGATATGTATATATGCTGCATGTTTCTATTTATACTTTAACATTTCCAGATTGCATTGTGAAAAGGTTATAACACCCTTATGTTTCACTAACAATTGGATTACTCATTTCCTCACATCTACTCTAGTAACAGGTATTAAGTCTTTTTAGTTTTTTGAGACTAGTGACAATAAAACATCATGACTTTGCTATTATACAGTGTACATTTTACATTTTTCTAGCTACTATAGAATTTGATTTTAAAAGTTTCTTTCTATCTTTTCTTAAAATTTGGATTTTTCCTTCTGTAAATTCTTTATTCACGTCCCATGCTGCACCCTTTTCTGTCAGATTGCTTTCTAGTATTTTTTTTCCTAAATGTTCTTTGAATTATAGGCATAAACACTTTTCCTATCAGGCATATTTCAAATATTTTTTCTAATGCTATTAATTTTTCTCCTGAATTTATGTATTTGCCACACAAACAATTTGTATGTAGTTATATTTGCTTTAGTAGCATTTGAATTTTCAGTCTTGATTTCAAAACTGTCTCCTCAAATCCTAGGATTTCTCACAAAGCCTTAGATTTTCTTGGAAAATTTTAATTTAATTTTTTTACACTAAAGTCTTTAATTCATTGGCAGGTTGTTATTTTGTATTATTAAAAATAAATAAAAGATGTTTATTCTTATTTTCTCTCATATAGTTAGCTAGTTTTAATAACTCTATTCATTTTCCTAGTGAATTAGACGACTATCTTGTGATAGATTAAGTTTTCAAATATATGTGATTACATACAGTGGTACGTCAGTTCAAGAACTTAATTCTTTCTATGATTATGATTGAACAATTCATTCCATGTTAGATTCATTCCTGCGACCAGAGTTGTGGAAAGAGTTAAGTTCATGAACTGAGGTACTATTATATTAAAATT